CCAGAACTACAAGCAAGAAACAGTTTGGAGTCTGACACATCTTTAATCAAATCACACCAAATTTCTAACCAGGTGTGAATGTGTTACTTATTATCATTTAATTTCCTTTCTTTTCAATTGAGGTGATATATTGCTTTAAGCATTGAAATGAAACTCTTAGTTTGCTTCAGATTTGGAAATTATCAGGACTTTTGTGAAGCATATGATATTACCTTTTCTCACAAATTTTAGGGTCGGTCAACTTTGTTACGCTTCTCATAATCTTTTATATGGTACAAAATTCTGTGTGGACCAAAAAGTAAGCATCTTTATTGCTCTCAAATAGTCAACATGATTAGAAAAATTCAAGCTCAAGAGACTCAAAGCACATGCAAATCCCAATTTGATTAAAAGCTTGTAAAAATTCTTTACCCCCACCTCTGAGCTTTTTTGATCTATGCCATACCAATTTGTCATCCTCACTCTTCGTTGTAAAATCACTGTTTCTGTGTTCATACACATACATACATTTTTACACTTTTTATTGGATTCATCATGAAATCTTATACTCATTATGTTTTACATGAATTAACATATACTTACAAGTGTGAAGTTGCTTCTATACCAGATGAAACAATTGATCATCAAGTTTCAATCTCTGCTTGAGGATGGCAACCTAGAGGGGCTCTCGACAGCTTTGAGCGAGATGCAAAGCCTAGAGGACATGCAAGAAGAGTACATGGTACAGATTGAGACTGAGCAAATGCTTCTACTTAACAAGATAAAGGAGCTTGGTCAAGAAATTATGAGTTCATCGTCTTCCTTGAGCAGAAGATCTTCTGGATTTTGAACCATGCCCCACTTCAATACATGATTATCATTGCCTTCAATTTTCTCGCTACACATAATTACATTTAGTAACAGTATATAGGGATCTCCAACTCTATAATTGTATAAGTGATGCTTATAAGCTCAGATCACTGGTAGCAGCTAAAGAAATTGGCATTAATGTTTCATGATACTCTACCGGCCTTCTTACTTCGTGCCTGCTTCCTGATCTTTCCCCTGGCATTATCAAATAAGAATTGATATTAATTAACATTTTTTTCATCAACTATATTTGCAACAATATTAACTGCAATTCAACAAGTTTATGAGATGAAAAACTTTTGAAGCTAAAAAAAGCTTTATTGATGAAATGTGTATTACTTTTTATTATAATCAGCAACATGTTCTTCTTTTGAATCGTTTGTTTCCCAATTCACAGAAGAAAATTGTCGGGAAAACCTTACATAAGTCCGCAACATTTGAGGGTAGTCTCGATTGGGTCTTCAACCTATTTTTCATCTTAACTAACTTCTTAATGTTGGAAATTCTTTTGTTTAAAACATGGTTGATGGTAAAATTAGTTTAAATTAAAAATGAAGTTTATTTATTTTTTAAATTAAAATTTTGTTGGAATTTAATTTATAACAAAAGCTCTTTAACATAAATAAAAAAATTAACATGATTTAAATAATTATTGATGAACAAAAAAGTAATTTATTTAATGAAAATATAAAAAGTTAAAATCAAACCTAAAAAGTACTCAAGCTTCGAGGAAAAAGAACCTAAACATATTAAACTTTAAGCTTAAATTCTCTCATACGTGTATGTATGGCTCAACTAGGACCTAAATTTGGATTTATTATAAAATAAATTTTTAGGTTAGAAAAAGGTTTTTTTAGCAACATAATATTAGATTTGAATTTGCTATATGAATAATTATTTTTTTAGTCCATTATCTTATCCTGCTTATAAATTAAGTCTCATAATCTTTTTAAAAACTTAACATTTTCATTACTTATGAAAATGTTGTTGCATCCGTTATAATTTACAAGGGAAACTTTAAGTCGTATTAGCTTAAGCTTTTTTCATATATTAAGATTTACATGGTTTTCTTTGAGGGCAAGTCTCTTTCTTTCAATGTCAAAGGCAAATTGATTATGTTTTTTAATGATGAATATTTATATGAAATAGGTCAAAGCCATATTAGCTTGAGCTTTTTTCATATATTAAGATTTATATGGTTCTCTTTGAGAGCAAGTCTAGCTATGCACCTAACATAAACATAATTTGCATAATTCTAAAAGAGAGTGAAAAGTGTAATTATTGGTGGAGTAGAGCTTGAGGATACTATTTTGGTGTTTAGAGAAGATTTATAAGTTTTAGGTTCTTAATTTTTTTTCTCCTAAAAATCTCTAAGTTTATTGAAAAGAGTGTTTCCCTTTATCATAAAAGGGTAATTTTCTCTTCTTGCCTATTATTTTTCAATACAAAAATTCTTAAATTAATTGTTCTACCCTTAACGAGAGCCATTTCCATCTATAAATATCCATTGGTTAGGTTTTTATATCTATAGTACACCAAATATATGTATATTTAGTATAAGATTAAAGTCATATGTTCTATTTATGAGGGTAGGTCTGCATCATTTTTCCATCTTTTTAATAGTATACTAAAAACATACAAAGCAATAAGTCTTAAAAGAAAATTATTAAAATTTCTATAAAGATACAAAGCTCATCATTAGCTAAATATATGCCTTTTATTAAGGCTAAGTCATATAAAGTAATGGTCTGCATCCTACACTTAAAAAGAAAGATGTTGTTGGATTTAGACTAGAAAAGAAAAATGACAATTAATAGTTTGTTATTTGATTTAATAGTGATTTTAGATAATTAGATGATGTTAAAGACCTTTTGATATTTCCATTACTTATAAAAAATGTTATTGCATCTTTCCCAATCACCTGATATAATTTGTAAGGGCAACTTTAAGCTATATTGGTGTAAATTTTGAAAATGGATGACAAATATAATTTTTGATGGAATACAACTTGAGGATGCCATTTTGGTGTTTAGAGAAGATTAATAAGTTTCAAGTTCTTAATTTTTTTTCTCTCTCTAAAACCTCTAAGTCTATTGAAAGAAGAACTTGTGTTCTTGCTTGAAAGATGAAGAATTTGATTTAATAGAAATTTTTTATAAAACTTAAGCATCACACCTAAAAAAAAAAAAATTGATAGGGTGCACTTTGTGTTATAATAATTTTATTGGATAACATGCAATGCATGCACTAATATCATAGGCTATACTTTTAGATAAATAATGCTCTTTATTCATATCATGAATAATTGATTTGTTTGGTCAATTCTATTATTAACATAATAGAAAAATATTCCTTTATTCAGTCTAGAATTATAGGAATATGAGAGGTGGTTTATATAAAATATAAGTATTTATAAGTTGAGAATATAATAATACCAGTTCTTCAATACTAAACATGGAAAGGGAGGCTAGAATCAATAATAATAAAATTGATCATATCTGAGAATAGTTCATATCAATTATATAAAATATAAAATAATTGAACTTAGAAATAAAAGTTCACATAATTCACTAGAAGAATAATTCATATTCAAATCACTAGTTCTATATAGAAAAAAAATGATATTTATAAATTAAGTTAGGATTTATGTAATTATTAAAAAAAGACAGAAAATAAGTTAAAATTTAGTTTGATTGAGGATTTATCATGTAATCTCCTTATTTGATATAAGCAATTTATATAAAATTATATCTAGATATTTATATGAAACTCTAATATTTAACTAATATATATAAGGCATCCAGTTATTGGAATAAAGGACTAGTTCCATGTACATATTTTTTTAATGTAATTTATAGCTTTCTTGCAATTTATATCTTTTTTTTCATTTACTGATTTTTTTGTATAACTTTCCTTTATATTCTGGTTTGTTTTTTTTTCTTTGAATTTTTTGTTTTTTTTTTACTTGACATGTACTAAAATAATATATCTTTTTTAAAGATGAATATGTTAGACAACTCACACTCCTTTTATTTGTGAGGCTGTTATATACTTTTGATCGGGATTAATTCTCTAGTAGTAGTTTTTTCTTATTAGAAGGGAAAAACAAAATCCCTATTTAAAATACTATAAAACTAATATAATAGACCAAACTATCATACATAATTCTAAAATTGACTTAAGTATACTATAAAACTAATATAATAGACCAAACTATCATACATAATTCTAAAATTGACTTAAGTATACTATAAAACTAATATAATAGACCAAACTATCATACATAATTCTAAAATTGACTTAAGTATTAACCCGGATTAGGTCCTAAATCTTAGGTTAAGAAGATCAATCTAGATTAATTTAAAATTATTATTATCCAAATAATATTTATGTAATTTCATTCTCATCCCTTTTTTATATTTTTGTACTCTCTTTTACTCCTTAATGTATCTCGCTTTATTTTTTTCTTAAATTTTAATTTTAGCAAAACAGAAAAGAGAAAAATAAGAGAAGAAACTGTATTTTTTTTTTTTATCAATAACGTGTGCGATGAAGACAACAAGAAATTTCAATAACGTGTGCGATGAAGACAACAAGGAATTAGTGAGCAAGGGGGATTGGTGGTCGAATTAAAGGAGCTTTTAGCCAAGAGAGCGAACATGATTTGGCTCTCATGGTTAGTGATTTTTTCAAGAAAGGTTGTAGCTTTGATGTCGATTCTAGTCTTCTCTAATTTTTATCATCTTGCCGACAAGATTTCAATAATTCACCCACGTTAATCTAAAAAAAAAACAACAAGGAATTAGTGAGCAAGGAGGATTGGTGGTCGAATTAAAGGAGATTTTAGCCAAGAGAGCGAACATGATTTGGCTCTCATGGTTAGTGATTTTTTCAAGAAAGGTTGTAGCTTTGATGTCGATTCTAGTCTTCTCTAATTTTTATCATCTTGCCGACAAGATTTCAATAATTTTTATTTTTAATCAAGTTAAACTTGGGTTTAACTTGTCAATTGAATGACATCAAACGAGGGGTCACGTGATTCAAGCCCAAGAAATCCCAACTGGTGGTGTCCAAAATGTACCAAGCTCGAAGGCCGATGCCATGTCATCCCAAATGAAGAAAATATCCGCCAATTTCTGAGTTGTAAAGAAAATAAAAATCTTATCTTGCCATTCCATCATCACCTCCAACTCCAACACTATAATTCACACTGAAACACTCTTAACAAAGTCTCTTCCACCTAAAACTTTCTCACCTTCCAAACAAAAACTTCTTCAGACAACATATGAAACACCAAACCACAGAAGCAACATCATAAGCTGTCATATAATGACCTTCACAACTGCAAAATTAACAGAATTGCCGCTGAGAACCACCTCCACGCTGCCTCTCAGCTCCCACTCCCTCTTATCTAAAATCGCCGCATTTCAATCCCTCAAAAAACCCTTCTCCATTGCGACCTCATCTTCACTTAGAACCAACAAAACCCCTAAAACCCAACAAAAAAACCCTAATTGGATCTCCAAATGGAAGCCTTCTCAAAACCATTCGATCAAAAACCCTCCATCAAAAGTCAGTCAAGAAAAGCCTCATTATTTCTCCAATGACAAGGGCCAAAATGCCATTGAAAGAATCGTACTACGGTTAAGAAATTTAGGGTTAGGATCAGACGATGAAGATGAATTAGAAGGATTGGAGGGGAGTGAAATCAATGGTGGTGGTTTAACGGGAGAAGAAAGACTTGGAGACTTGTTAAAAAGAGAGTGGGTCCGGCCGGATACAGTGGTTTTCAGTAACGATGAGGGTAGTGACAGTGATGAATCTGTGTTGCCATGGGAGAGGGAAGAAAGTGGGGCAGTGGAAATGGAAGGAGGGATAGAGAGTGGGAGGAAAAGGAGAGTAAAGGCGCCGACTTTGGCAGAATTGACAATAGAAGATGAGGAATTGAGGAGGCTGAGGAGAATGGGGATGTTTATTAGGGAGAGGATTAGTATTCCGAAAGCTGGGATTACTAATGCGGTTTTGGAGAACATTCATGATAGGTGGAGGAAAGAAGAGTTGGTTAGACTTAAGTTTCATGAGGTTCTTGCTCATGATATGAAGACTGCTCACGAGATTGTTGAGGTTAATTTCTAGCCTGATTACTTGTTTGCTATGTTATTTGATTTTTATTCAAATCATGGTGCAATCATGCTATATTTATGATCAATTATGGTGTTAGGCATCAAATGCATTTGTTATTATAGTCATGCTGAATTATGTTGTTGAATGATGCTAGAGACGCTGTTGGTAAAGTTATTAAACTATCCAATGGAAACCTGATATAGGTTGTGTTATTGTTCTTGTAAAATGACGTGATAGGCTTGTGATTTAATGATTGATGTGTTGATTTAGTAATACCATTATTATATGTTGTTTCCCTTTGTCTTGTGGAAGATGTTATGATACTTTGCTTGAAGGAACCTTCTTGTTTATGTGTTGCTAAGTTTTCAGTTTTAATAAATTTGTTCCTTTTATCACTGCTCTACAATTTTTTTTTTTGTCTATTGTGGCAAATGATGGTATTTTGTTTGTTGGAGTGCCATGCTGATGTAGTAGAGATTTGGTTTAGTGTCCTAAAAAGGATTTGTTGAGAGCTAGGGTTGTAGAATTAGAGATTCTTGGTAGGAATTAGGGTTAGGGTTTGATGTATTTGGAATTGGGATGGATTAAGGATGTGTTAGGATGATTTGGGGGTTGCTATTGTCATGGTTGTTAGAATCTTATGTTTCAAGATTCAAATCTTACAACTTGTCGCAATTCATATACAAAATGACTGGATTCATGGGGTGAATCCTAGATGTAAAAGGATCTTACAATGCAATCATGGATTTGATTCGATTCAATAGAGTTTACGGGTCAACGCTAATAGAAAATGAAAGTAAATGCATAATTTTTAAAGAGATGCTAAGCTAGGAATGCTAAGTTTACAGGTCATGGATGACAACAACACAAACAATTTTCTTTGAAAAATACTTCTACTTGAAACTGAAACAAATTGTAAACTAAATTTTCACAAAGAAAGAAAAGGGTGAAATAAAGCAAGAGCTTCTAAGTCAGCCAGAATGACAGAGGTTATTTCAAAATTGAGGAAGAATAAGGTTGCTAATTATTCTTTATTAAAACTAGGTTAAGTAGTTAGAAGGTAGCTTTTAGATATTCAATTTATCGAGTCTTTAGAATGATCAAGTACCAATGAACAATATGTTGAATTTTGAGACTCTGGGGTCCTTTAATGAACAATTTTGCATCAAGTTATTGACATACATTTTGTTTTGTAAATGCTCATTTTTTCTTTATTTTAGAAACATTTAGTATGTTAGGTATCTTTTATGATGTCATTTTCAATTGTTATTGAATGTTAAGATTCACAATCCCAAAAATAGGCTTTCTGATTCATGATTCAAATCTTGATTTGACAACTATGAGTAGCACTGAATAGTAACCAAGGTTAATGTAGCTATAAGAATGACAGGGAAAGTAAGCAGAAGAAGCATGCTTAGAGGAGGCAGAAACAAAACACAAAGCCGCAGCCTGTCAACTAAATCACACATTCATAATTCCTTTATTCAAACTCGTACAATTTCATGGAATAGGTGCTCCTTTTACGGGCACCAAAACCATAGTAGTCTTTAAATTAATACTTGATCTAAAATATGCTAAGATTCCTCAATAGCATTAATATGTGTAAGCAAAATAAATTCCAACATGGTCTCATTTACAAGAAACACTAGAATATGCAGAATTAAAAAACTTATTTTTCTTTGACTGCATCACATGCTTATGGTTGTAAGAATTATGCTTGAGTGTGTTATGTATAAGTTACTTCACATGTTTAGCATGATATATTTTCTGGTAGGTATGTCTAACATAAATGATAAGATTTTGGCAAATGCAACTAACTGTTTGGTGTCATGTTCAGCGTCGAACAGGAGGATTAGTTATATGGAGAGCAGGGAGTGTTATGGTGGTGTTTCGTGGAACTAACTATCAAGGGCCTCCATCTAAGTTGCAACCTGCTGATAGAGAAGGGGATGCTCTCTTTGTCCCAGATGTTTCTTCTACTGACAGTGTTATAACGAGAAGCAGCAACATTGCAACTTCATCTTCTGAAAAGAGTAAATTAGTAATGAGGATAACAGAACCTACTGAGAACATGACAGAAGAGGAAGCTGAACTTAACAGCCTGTTAGATGGTTTGGGACCCCGTTTTGAGGAGTGGTGGGGTACAGGATTACTTCCAGTTGATGCTGATTTGCTTCCTCCAAAAGTTCCTGGTTACAAAACTCCTTTTAGGCTTCTTCCTGTTGGAATGCGGGCACGGCTTACTAATGCGGAAATGACTAATATGCGAAAGCTTGCTAAAGCACTTCCTTGTCATTTTGCCCTTGGTATTACTCACCTTCTACAAAATCTTCACTTTAAAGTTCCAATATTTTTTACATTATATTTTGTCATAATCTTATCTTATGTAGGGAGAAACAGAAACCATCAAGGGCTAGCTGTCGCTATACTCAAGCTTTGGGAGAAAAGCTTAGTTGCAAAGATTGCTGTAAAACGGGGTATCCAGAATACAAATAACAAACTGATGGCAGATGAACTAAAGGTTGTTACATGCATCCAAATGGTCAACAAAATATGTAGTATTGAATTTGTTTGCTCATTGCAGGTGTTTTTTTTACATCAATAGTTTGTAGTCCCAGTTGTTTTTTAATAGCAAAGTTCCAGGGTCATTTAACTTACCATTTTTTCTTCTGATTCATGTTATTTCACTTCCCCTTTGTGGTTCTTCACTCTCCTTCATAGATGACAAGCTTTGCTTGGTAGAAGAGACAGAAGAATGCATTACGTATACAAACAAAGTATTAAAGTTTGATGGTGTTAAATTTTCATTAATTTTTGCAGATGTTAACTGGTGGTGTGTTATTGCTCAGAAACAAGTATTACATTGTAATATTCCGAGGAAAGGATTTTCTGCCACAGAGTGTAGCTGCTGCTTTAGCAGAGAGACAGGAAGCGACGAAGCAGATTCAAGATGTTGAAGAGAGAGTACGAAGCAATTCAGTGGAGGCAGCACCATCAGGTGAAGATGAAGGAAAGGCACTTGCAGGCACATTGGCAGAGTTTTATGAGGCTCAAGCACGGTGGGGAAGAGATATATCCACTGAAGAGCGTGAAAAGATGATTGAAGAAGCTTCCAAAGCTAAAACTGCAAGGCTCGTCAAACGAACTGAACATAAATTAGCTATTGTAAGTATGATTTCTTATTTCACACATTCTGATTTCTAAAAGACCTTGCTGAAGCATCATATGTCAGAGGCTTGTTTTCTGCCTGTGTGCTCACCTTGTTTGATCCAAGAGAAGTTTCATTCTAACCATTTTTAAATGTATGGGTTTTATGATGTTGAACTCCCTGAAATTCCTTTGATGAGCTCTTCTAGTTATTTTTCATTTTCATATTAGATTAATTAAACATTTGACGTCCCCTGTTTGAGATATGTAATGCATAGTTCATATACTTACTTGGAAGCCCTTTTTTAAGATTTATTTATAAAAAAATAAGTTTGCAACCAAAAAGGTTGCTGGTGTGAGACTCGAGAGTATAGCTCATAAAAATTCTGAAGTCTAAGCCAATCTTCCAGTTAAGTATGGGTTTCAGCTGTTTTTATTTACTGCTCTGTTCTTTATATACTCAAAATCAACATCAGCCTCCATGCTTGATGGACCATGGTGGTTTTTGTTCAAGTAGATGGTTATCTCATAGCATCAAATCCTAATTTATTGATTTTATCTATGATGGACTGTAATCTCATCATCTTATCTATTATAAATATGCATAACTTGGATGAATATTTCAATTCCTGTCAGGCCCAGGCCAAGAAGCTTAGAGCTGAGCGTCTGTTATCCAAGATAGAAACTACGATGGTTCCTTCTGGTCCTGATTTTGATCAAGAAACAATCAGTGAGGAGGAAAGGGTTATGTTTCGCAGAGTTGGTTTAAGAATGAAGGCTTACTTGCCACTAGGTTTGTATTCTTAAGTTCATCGACTGAACTTAGAAGTCAGAGCTGAAAATCTGATGGCCTGTCTGTGCTAATGTGTAGGTATTCGTGGTGTTTTTGATGGTGTCATTGAGAATATGCATTTGCATTGGAAGCATAGAGAACTTGTGAAGCTAATATCCAAACAAAAGACTCTTGCATTTGTGGAAGATACAGCAAAATTGTTGGAATATGAGAGTGGTGGGGTACTAGTGGCAATAGAAAGAGTTCCCAAAGGGTTTGCTCTTATTTATTATCGCGGGAAGAATTACCGTCGACCAATCAGCATAAGGCCAAGAAACCTTCTAACAAAGGCAAAAGCATTGAAGCGTTCAGTGGCCATGCAAAGACATGAGGTTTCCATTTCCCATTGTCTCATGCTTTGATTTTTCCATTATGTTTATAACCATGGTCATCTATAAATGTGATTGATGTCCTTTGTATCCCTGTGTGGGGTCATGCAGGCCCTTAGTCAGCACATATTTGAATTGGAAAAGAACATTGAAGAAATGGTGAAAGAAATGGTACGAATCTGTTCTCTAGTTTACATCTATTAAAATAGAATTACTGCATATTTCTTCTGCATGTGCATGCTCGCCAACTTCCGCCAACTTCGTACTATTTATTGTGTAATTGGAGAATTGTTTCGTCTCAAAATAGGACTTGATCATTATAAATAGGTTAATGAGGAATAATGCATTGGTTTGTTGTTTGTTTTCTTTTTTTTATTAGCTTGTGGTTCAAGTTGTGAGGGTATGATCCCCCCTTTATGAGAGAGTGTATAAGGATTTTAGGATTGAGTTTGAGAATTAAATCCAATATTATCTATTATCACTTTATTTATCTTGGTTGGTTTCCTTTGTATTAAATTGGCGCATTTATGGTAGTATGATGGATTCTTGGTATTAAATTGATTTTCTTTGGACTTGGCAATCTCCACTAGTGGAACCATGAATAGGCTTGGTTGCAGAACTGCAATGTCGACCCTTCTTCATTTAGATGATGCTACAGGCTCATACTTGAATAGCGGTCCTTGATAAGATTAAGATCATTGTTGTAGACGAACCTTAAGGGTTTGTTTGTAAACAAGGATGGATTGGATAAAGTGAGAAGATGAAGAGGAAAAGGGATGGATGCTATCTGTCCATGAAGTTGTTTGGCTAGCGAGGGAGAAGGATAGAAGTCAACTTGTCCAAATTGGAAGGATTGAAAACTATAAGCGAGGAATGAATGATAGGAAGGATCTTTGCAATCCTTTCTTGGGTCATTAGCCCTCTTGCTTAACAAAAGAAAGACCTCATCTATCCACCATCATCCATCCTGCCCAAATCACGCCTGGCAAACAGACCCAATGTATTGCAATAATGGGAAGACACATTTCATTTCATCTCATTTGTTTTTGGCATTTTGTTTATGGTGTGGAAAATTTAGAATATTTTTGGCCCATGGTGGTGAACAGTGACTAAATTCTGGTAAGAGTAGAGGACATATTGAGGAGCGTGCTAGTTTTTAGGGTAAGTATTACTGTTTGCAATATGATTGAGGGGAACTCAAGAATATTTAAAGACTCCTCCATCAAAGCAGTTGCTTGGGGAACAGAATTGTGGTTTTGGCCTGTTATTGTGTGTGCTATTTCAGGGAGTTTAAGATCTTTAGCAGATGATCACCACTTCAGGAAAGCTTCGATGTGTTTAATTATTTATTTTCCCTTTGCATTCTTACCCTTGTTGTGCTCACTCTAATCTTGCCTGCCACAAAATGGTCTATTAGGGGGCAGTTAAATATGCAGAATGCTTCAAGAAAGATGTTTAATATTCTTCTGTTGTTGGTTATAAATTGTACTTTAGTATCATGTGTTGCAGCCTCTGTCATCCTTGTTGCTTTCTATTTTTTGTTTTATTTAATTGCTTTTGTTCCTCCTGTGAAAAAGATTAGTTGAACCAGAGAACTTTGTGTTTTTTATTGACAGGGGCTTTCTAAAGAAGAAGAGAATGAGAATAATTGGAGCTCAGAGGAACATGCCCCCTTAAATAATGTCTCAAAATTAACCCAAGTTAGTATTATGCTTTGTTCTCTTTGCTATTTTTCTTTTAATCATTACCTAAAAGTTTGAATTCTGTCCCTTGTTGAGGGCTTGGGTGAGTCTAGCTTGGGGTTCAATTTTCCTGCTGCTTCAATTGCTGATTTTAGTTGTTTCTGAGGAGAGAGTTATTCTCTTGTAATTAGAATATTTTCTTTTTGTATTAATCTTCAGAGTGAGGATAAAGCTTTTTTCACCGAGTCTGATAGCGAGGATGATTATAATGAGGGAATTAATTATGAAGCTGCCAAGGATTTTTGAATTTTCAAGCTTCAAAAGTCATTATCACCGTGGAACACAAATAATTCACAAGTTTTACCTAAGTTATTGAAGTAACTGGATTGAATTTTTGTGTTCCAAGACTTTAATGCAGGTAAGCATCATGGTTTATCCTGTTTGATCATTTTTCTGGTATTTTCTTGAATTTGATATAATCTTTACCATCTTATTTGTAATTTAATTTGTATTTGCAGCTATAGACTTCTTTTGAACTATTCCTGAAAAGACTTGTAAAATTCTTTTTTTTATATCAATCTTAAAGACTTGTAAAGCCATATAGGTGTTATGTTATAGGAGTTGAACACAGTTGTGTTTTCTGATTTATCTTCCCATAAAAGCCGCTGGTTAGTGATTCTTGTGTGGTGTAATGTTAGTAGTTGGCTAATAGTTTTTGCAGATGTGCATTGTTGCAGTCCTTTCCAGTTCTGTGTCTAAAGTAAACTTTTGAGGTCAGATGCATAATATGATAATGAAAAATCTAATGCTTTCTGATCTAACTATGTTTTTCAAATTCATTCCAGGAGGTTCCATGATAGGATCATTTGCAATTGTAGTGGATGATTCTTGTACACTTTGAAGCTGGAAGGGCATATTGCTGTTGGAATTAACACAATGAATGATTTGCTTAGGTTTGCCTACATATTGTTGCAATTCAACAAAAACCCTTGTTCACTGGCAGTTATTGATTCATGCCTGGTTGCAAACTTGAGGTTCGAGTTCAACTGCAATCGGCATTCATCACCAATGATTTCTGTTCAGACTGAACTTTGGTGATAACATATTGTATCAGCCGGTGTTGTAAAGTCAAATTTTCCCAGGTGAAGTTACCTGTAACCAACCAGTGATAATGCACTCCTTCAGACTGATTTATCTTCAATGATTGTATGTGTAAAAGCTTTATATAGTAAAGCGTTTTTGTGGCAATAAAGTGAAACAATTACCTTTGTATGTCTCCTGTTACCTTTCTAGTTGAGCTGGTCAGCCTTAAGAATTAATCCTTTACGTCATTTTATCCCATGTGATAAACTAGCTGTCATTCTATCCTACCGAGTAGCTAGACTGGCATCAGCATTCCCTTTTCCTTGGAGAGGTCTCAGAGTTTTCTCTCTCTGAATGGATGAAAATGAAGTCTGAATAGTTTTGAACTCCTGTAATTACGAAGCATCAATCGAAATCCTTGTGCTCGTTATGGCTAGTCCAGTGGTGTGTATTTCCCAGCAAGACCTATAACATTCTGGCATTATCCCTGGCTTGTGAGACCGTGCAAGCTCCAGACTTTCCATAGTAACATACATTGCTTGTACTCTCCAAGAACAGAATCAGAATTCTCATCTCGTGAGAGTAATTTCTTGCATCCTTTAGCAATCTGTTAAATCTAGTTCTTTACGATGTCTTTTTGCTGAATAGCCAAGGCATTGCTGCTAAAACACCTTTTTCTGGGATTTTATTTTTGTTTCGCAAAGTTCCCTCTAGTTCTCACACCAGTTTACGAGAAGTGACCGTTACCAGTGACCCCTGACCAACATCCAATTCACACACTGGCAGATAGGGCGTTGATGTTTTTCTGATAGTGTGTCCAGTCAAGGAAGACCATGTTTTCCTTGAGAGACCGACACCATGGAAACTCGCACGTTCACGTGAGTATTAACAATTTACAGTTTAACCTTCTTATATTTCACTAGTAGACTTTTTTGGCTCTTGGGTCCCTGTAGTTTTTCAAACTTCACAATTCGGTCAACAAATTTGATTTTCTATCATATCTGGTCCCTGAAAGTTGAGAGAGGCGCGAGAGAAGGAAAGCAAAGTTTCAGGTCATGTTTTGGCAACAAAAATCATGGTGTCGTGTTTTGAATTTTGAGTTTTTAAGCTAATTAGAGTGTTTTGGGATTGAAAAAAAAAAAAACAGTTTATGAAGGTTTTTAAGAGGTGCTTTTTAAATGAAAAGGAGTTTCATAAATAAAAAATCCAAAACCTTAATGTTCTCTGGTCATTAGTAGTTGAAACGTATACAAGCCTATGGACATGGACTTGATGCTCTTGGCCTTATATATATACATATATATATAAATTTATTTTTTTAATATTTTAAAATAAAATTCACTTCAAATAAAATAATTATGCATGGCATCTCTAATATTGCCTCTCTCTCTCTCTCTCTCTTATCTCAGAATTACTAAAGGTTTTTTCTAATTAATTTGCTCTTTTTTTCATTCTTTTTTTCTTTTTCTTTTTTTTTTTGTCTATTGTTCTAAGAGTTTCTTTTATCTTCTTTAAATTCTTATTATGTTAATTTGCTCTTTTTTTCATTCTTTTTTTCTTTTTCTTTTTCTTTTATCTATTGTTCTAAGAGTTTTTTTTATCTTCTTTAAATTCTTATTATTTTTTATTTTTTTGTATAATTTCTTCAAAAACCTATCAATTTTCTTTCTTTCATACATGCCTTCTTTGTCTTGTGAAGTAGAGTGCTTTTAGATGGTATTTAGTTATTTTCTTGGAATATAAGAGATGAAAATGATAGGATCAAGGAGATAAAATAAAAAAAAAAAAAAAATTACATTTGATAATGGTGTACAAAATAGATGAACTATCTTTGTATTTTATTTAGTTATCCTAAGAAAATAAAATAAAATATAAAAAATATTTTAATGTTAATATATACTATTATCAAATTTATATATTTTAAAAAATTATTATTTTTACTTTATTTTATATCAAGTGTTAAAATTAATAACATTATAATAACTCTAGGTATAAAACCTAAATTGACTTGTCGGGTATCCAAGACCTATTTGATTCGAGGTCTGGAATAGTTGAAGTTTAAGAAAAAACAAAGTAAGTATTAAACCCATTCAAATTGCTCAAAAGGAGTCAACTCATGATTCAAGGTAACATACTAGTAAAAACCCCATTGTTTTTTTTTTAAAAAACTAGTAAAAACCCCATTGTTTTTTTTTTTTGAAATTTTATTTGGTCAAAACAAGGTTGCTTTGATTAATTTTTTAAAATATTTTTGGGTCAACTCGGGTTGACCTCCTAACCCATGACTCAAGCCTTGCATCAAGTTGACTCTCAAGTCGAGTTTTAAAATCATGATAATAATAACTTTTATCCATATATTAGCTCAATTCAACCCAGGTTGACCTCCAATTCATGACCCCAGCTTTTATCCCAAATCGAACCCTAATTCGGGTTTTAATACGATAATAATAATTATTTTTATTTTTATATTGATCCCGGTCAAGTTGGGCTGACATTTCTTGGCCTTACCTTAGGTTCACCCCAGTCAGGTTTTAAAATAATAATAAGAACCATTTTATTCTTATGTTGACTTGAGTCAAATCAAGTAGTATACCTAGATCTTTTTTCAGATTAACTCTCTGAGTCAAGTTTTTAAAACTTTAATAATAAGTATTTTTAATTTTATGTTGACCTGGGTTAACGATTAATCTAAACCGTAACTTGAGCCTTATTTGATGTCGACCTTCAAGTGAAGTTTTAAGATAATAATAATAATCACTTTTAATCTTATGTTCACTTAAGTCAACTTGAGTTGACTCTCTTAACTTATGAATCGAGTCTTGCCTTAAATCAACTTGTGAATTGAGTTTTAAAATTATGACAATAATTTTTTTTTTATCATTACATATTTTAGTTGAATAATTTTAGAAATAAAATTTTTTATAATAATATTTTAAAAATAAAAAATAAAAAATATTATCTTTAAAGACATTCCACCTATATTTTCAAAACCTTTCTATTTTGAAAATATAAAATATCACTTCAAAATTGTTCTAAAAATATATTTATTTTTACATATTTATCTTTATTATTCTCTATTCAATCAAATATATTTTTAATTTTGTCATCTTTATTCCCATGAAAATAATTAATCACTATCTTAAAACATAGGCGACTACAACTTGGACTGAGTTTGCTACTTTTGTCTTCAAAACTTTTATGCTTTCACCTTGTAAAATATTTGGTCTCTCTACTCTTTTCATCTACATCACTAGCGTCTCTGATCTACTTGTATTATTTTCATACATGATTTCATATCTATGATATCTCTACATACATTTATAATTTTTTTAATTTTATATATTTTTATTTTATACTATAATATTCAGATATGATCAATTCACTATCAAATCAAGATTTGAAAGCATTACAATCTCTGCAAAACGTTTCAAGAAATGCGTGGCAATTTTTTTTATATAATTTAATTTAATCTAACCTAGAATTGAATAGAAATATAATGCATATACTTAGAGTATGTAATATGTTTGGTAATATGGTGTAAATTATGTTTCCTCAAATTTAATTTTTTTGTGTTTTGAATTGTTTTGATATACTAATATTAAAAATAATTTTTTAAAAATAAAAAAAATATTATTTTAATATATTTTAGTATAAAAAATATTTTAAAAATAACCATAACTATATTTTTTTACAGCCGTGTTGATTTTGTGTTTTCGTGATTTGCCATGTATGGAGAGTGTCAATAGATTTAGGCTTACAAGCTATGACTTAAGAAGTAATTACTGTAAAGTTACTATAATTTTTTAAAGTGAAATTGTCCTCGAATGGGTAACATTTCTTTATTTCTTTCTCTTTTTTTTCTTACCTGTTTGAGGATTTTAGAATAATTGGCTGCTCATGTTATTAGTTTGCAACAGAACTGATATCTTATGGTGTACTTGAAATTAAAAATAAACTAATAATGGAGTGTGGAATAACAAATAATCTTGAGGGCGAAGTTAATGTTTTTTAGTGGAACAAGAAGGAAATTTATTTATTTTTTAACATTTTGAGGGTGCCATTCCCATCCTTGTTGGTTTATTATGGTTGCAAATGTGGATGTAATAAAGTAATCACGATGCATGTTTGATCTTGTTTGATGTCCCATATGTAAATAAAGAGATCCCAGGATAGGAGAATTTAAAGGGATATTATTTGAATTTATAGCGTATTTAAGAACATGAAACCATGTTCTTTAAAATTTGAATTTTTTTTATTTAAAATATATTTTTTAATGTTTGTAGACACATCTTTAATCTATATAAAGTTGTTGTAACATGGAAACAGGTGAGTGTTGCTTCATATGTGTGTGCATTTCATTTAAGTTTTGCTAACCTCCTGACATTCTAGCTTTATTGTTGAGATGATGTGTGTTATTGTTTTGTTTGAATTTTAATGTGGTTTACAAATAATTATTACATAATAATTTTTTTTTTAATCTTTTCATATTATTTTAATGAGCTAATGTAAAATATAAAATAAAAAAAATATTATTTTAATATACTTTCAAACAAAACATTAACACACATCATCTAAACCTAAATGAAACGGGCACACATGAAGCAACACTCACCTGTTTCCTTGCTTCTCTTAAAACGCACAGGCAAGGGATAAAGCTAGAAACATCTTTTAAAGAGGAATTTTTTTCCTGGAATTGCCCAGGTAACCAACTTGGAGAACAATTTCCGTATAACATTATCGAGTGTGTGAGAGAGATGATGAAATTTTTGCCATGAAGCTTGTAAAGAACTGAAAGCACATACAAGGATCATTGTTTACATTAGAGGACCACAGCACTTGATTATCAAGACGTAAGAAAATAAACTGGAGTCCCAATGTGTCGCCCTAAGACTAAGAAAAAAAATACAGAATGCCCCATCTTGAGAATCTCATAGCTGCACTCACAAAATGCAAACTGCCAAAAGTATTGCAGCGGGGAAACAAACTATTTCAATATTATGCTTCAAGTTTGTCTCAAAAGTATATCCTGCATCAGCTTCTGTGTTAGCTCATGACCAATCAACATCGATGAACCGCGACGATCATAAATGCTGTTGCAATTTCTGACACCTGCTTGTAACTTAAATATGTCCACTTTAAGAACAATTGACAAACTTAGTTTACTGTCGTAGCATCTGTTGCAGCTGAAG